AAAAAAAAAAAGAAAGAAAAAGATTTTAGAAGTGATACTTTGCAAATTAGAATATTAAATTGTTGTTAAAATCCAATATATAGGATTCTATATCAAAGCTATTAAGACTGAGTCAGTCAGCCAGCTGTTGCTTTCTGCTGATAAATTCTGCTAACGAAGCAGGATGAAGCTGTAACTTGTAAGAGGCAATGTAGTTTGGCAGAGAGACCCTGAATTTGGAGTAAGAAGATAGAACTCTGACCTAGGCCAGCCACTTTGTATACCTTGGTTCTCTTCCATGTAAAGCGGAACATTCTGCTGTGCCCACATTTACAAGGACATTGCAGGAAATACAAAGTACTACTTTGTTAATTGATGATGACCAATGTAAGCTAGACTGCTGTTCCTGGGGAATAAGCAAATTCATCACGACTGTTGTGCTTTGATATAATTCTTCTTTTAATACAAAATTTCCTAAACTTCTATGATAGTTGGACATTTATGACAAAAAATGTATAACCATAGTAAGTCAATCATGTAATTGTACAAGTACAGTTGTCTGTCAGTGTCTGGGGGATTGGTTCAAGGATCCCAGATTCTGCCGATGCTCAAGTCCCTTACGTAAAATGGCATAGTGTTTACATATAGGCTAGAAGTATCCTGCCATATACTTTTCATTTCTAGACTACTTACAATACCTAGCACAATGTAAATTCTGTGTGAATAATTTTTATACTGTGTTGTTTAGAGAGTAATGACAAAGAAGAAGAAGTCCATACATTTGTAGAAAGACATAGCCCCTTTTCAGATAGTTTTGACTAGTGTTTGGTTGAATCCACAAATATAGAATCCATGGACATGAAGGGCTAACTGTATTTGAAAACCAATAAGCTTAAATTTAAGATTCATATTTAGAATCTTATAATTTAATTCTTTGAATGTGTTTTGTTTCATTACCTCCTACAGCTTGAATTCTAGAGACATCCCTTTTACATTTCTTTTTCAGTCCTTTGCATGTTTGCCTCATTTTAAAATTTTAGCCCTGTGATAGCATGGGACCATTATTTAATTAATTGTCATGAATACTCTGAAAATAAATGACTAACGATTATTAATCACATCAATTGAAGGGACCCCTCTAAACTTTTGTTGGTTTGTAATCTCCAGTTTCCTTTTCTTTTGGTAAGTTTCACAGAAGAATTTACAAAGGAATCCCCCTCCAGCTCCGGGGTGAGGTCTGGGCTCTCCTTCTTGAGATCCCTAAAATGAAAGAAGAAACACGAGACCTTTATAGTGTGAGTAGCTTAACTATTACTTTGAAATTTTAAAAAATGATTTATTTTAGCTTTCAAGGTGATGTAAGATATTTTTATCATTTGAAATTATACCAAAAGTCTGTTGGATTGGGTTTTAGAGGTGTATTATTTGTTTTATCTATTGTAGTCTCAAATTTCAAATAAATACTTCAATGAAAGTGTTGACTATATTAATCAGTGAATATTAAATATTTTTCAAATATATAAATGATTAATCACAGTACTTAAAATGATCCGTCAATATTATTTGGGCATATTTGAAGGAAAAATTGACTAAAACCTGATTGTAGTATCAATAAAGATTTGTAATGTCCTTTTTAGAGTCTATGGGGAAATAACAATTCAATTTATCCTATATCTATCTGTATATGATTCTGTTTCTTCTAGGACTATAAAAAAAGAATTTGCCTCCAAGATTATTACAGTATCTCTAAGGTTTATTATGTATCAGTAAATTGTTAAACTTTTGACTGAGTTTATTGGTAATGCTTTTCTTAAATTAAGCAATGCATTAAATTTACCTCCTTGTGCCAGGGATTTAGCTCAGAGGTGCCGCCACCTGCCTCAAAAGTGCAAGGTCCCGAGTTTGATCTCCAGTACCAAAAAAAAAAAAAATTTATGTCCTTGTCATCTCAGCTCTACCTGTTCTGAATCTGTATTATATTAACTTTGGAAGGAGTAAAAAATTTACATCTAAGAATCTTAGATCTGTAGATTTTGAAATATTCTCTTTAGAAAGTGTATATAGAGTAAGTTAAGTTAGAATATATTGAAAAATATGTATAGTTTAAACCAGTTACAAAAGGCACTTTGGTATTCCCACTAAAGGGAATAAACTACAGTTTTCAGTTGTACTGTGAACAATAACATGAAAATAATGTTATCCAGTTATTGGTTAATATAAGAACATCATTTAATAAAAACTGATAACAAAAATAACTTGATCACTGGTACTTTCAAGCTCATAATTTTCAACACAATCATAAACATTTTTACTGCATCATTATTTGAGTCTTCTTTTCCTGACCACTCTTTCTTACTTGTTCTGTGAAAGTTGTGTATAGTTGTATATAGTTGTATACATCCTCCATGAACTAGAACCTTCAGTAGGAGGAAAGCTAACTTCTCTTGATCTACCAAGATTTTTCTCAGATGGGTGGAATTATTTGAAGCCTGGCATATTAGCATTCAGTCCTTGAAGTTTGTCTAATGGTGCGTGCTCATCATTAGACTGCAGCTTTGTACGAGTTACTGAAGAGCACACAAAATGAGTGGGTGTGGTCAAGAAGCTGTTCTTTGTCTGAGGAAACAATAGTATATAAATGTATAATATTGTAGTCATTAGTATGGGACAAATACTCCAAAAGTAGCAACAAAACAAAACAAAACAAAAACTTGGCTGACGTGAAAGGAGAAAAAGAAATCACCTTTATGGTTCAGGAAGTCTTCATGAGGGGTTGTTTCCAGAAAGGAAAAAAGGAGGATGAATTTTCAAGGCAAACACCTTTTTCTGATTTGGATCTGATTGGTTTTAATTTGAAGCTTCATATTGCTGTATTTTAAAAATATTGTACCTACTTTGAGAAAATTTGACCTTATTTGAGTATTTAGATGTGTGGATATGTGAACTACTTCATTTAATTATAGCCATAATACCAAGAGGCGGAACCACTGAACTAAATCCCCAGCCCTTGCTTATTATTTTTTTACCTACCTAACAGGTCTTTACTTGTGTCATGAGACCTTTTGTATGATGCACTTTTTTGTCTTAAGAGAAGCTGATATTATAGGTGTGTTGGGTTTTTTTTTGTTTGCTTTGCAGAACTGGGGAAGGGACCCTGGGGCCTCACAAATGCTAGGGAAGTGTCCTACCACTGAACCAGCCACACCCCCAGCCTAATCTTCATGTTTTAAAAAGCTATAGAAGCTACTATTCTCTGAGTTCCTACCTCAAAATATAAAAATGCACATACTCACAAAATACTTAGTGCGTACACACCTATGTACCAGGATCACATACATTTCAGACATACCCAAATAGCCTTTATTCCACTTTTAGTTTATGTCAGGGATTAGCAGTTGTGTTTTTATATGTATTTACTGGAATAGATTTTAGCAGGAATCTGTTTTACCAGTACATGGTAAATGGATCAATATAATGTGTATATAGATGCTTATACTTAAACATGATTATGTATAGATTAATATATATTTTAATCTGTCATCTGCTAAACATGGGGCATTAAACATACTCATAATTTAACTTCTTTCTCCCTGAAATGCTACTAAATTGACAGCAGAGTTATTTTTTTTTTTAAGGCAAACTCACAAAGTATAAGAAAACATGAAGAGATAACAGCTACAAATTTTTTAAAACCAGAGTGCAGACAGACATTTAGTATACTTAAGCCCAAGAAAGCTAAATTCTAGGCTGGCACTGGGAAATTGGAGAAGGAACATGGTTTGTATCTCAAATCTCCAGAAGTTTGGTAATTGCCAGCTGTAGGTACTGCTGTAAGTGGAGGTGATGGTGAACACAGAAGTGGCTGAAGGTCTGTTTCAGAAGCAGTTAGAGCCCTCAAGTCTCCTCCTAGCCCTGGCCCATGACTGGATGTTCATTGGTGGGAGGAGGGCCTTTGGATTGGGACAGCACAGACACTGCTGAGGTGAGCTGCTGTCGGGAAAGCAGAGGAATAGGATATCTCAAATTTTGGACTACCTAGCCTCTGAACTCTGCTCCCAGAACACTGGCAGTGAGGTGTTGATCTTCCTGGCAGGAGATGGGGAACATGCCCATCTTCTAGGGAACATGCCAACTTCTAGAAAATAAACTGATTTCCAGGGACCCCAGCTTCAACTGCCCAGCCAGCTCAGTCCGCACCGAAGACCACTGTTGCGAAGTTTCCTGACTCTGCTGCCTTCCCCCAGACGCACAGCCTTTTTAGTGTCTACTGTGTTTTGTTTTGTTTTGGTTTGGTTTGTTTTGATACAGGGTCTTGCTTTGTAGTGCAGGCTTGCCTTGAACTTACTATGTAGCCCAGGCTGTCCTCGAACTCATGACAGTCCTCCTGCCTCAGCCTCCTGAGTACTGGGATTACAGGTGTGTGCCACTATGTGTCTTACTGTTAAAAGCAGACAGACACCAAAGGAATTTGAGGAAAGGGCTAACATGAAAGACAAATGAAAACAAATAGAAAAGAAACTTGTAAGAAACAGACTATAGAACAAGAAGAAGATTTAAAAGATTATTGTTAATATCTTCAGAAAAATAAAATAGATATTACATCCATAAAACAGATGTAAGATGCTATAAAAAGGAACATTTGAGAACAACAGAGCTTATGACTATAAAAATAATAGAAATGGAAAATTTAAGAAAAATGAAAAACAATTGAAAGTAATGATTGAAGAAATTTCCCAGAAAATAAAATTTAAAGGCAAGTAGGAAATAGAGACAATACAAGAAAAATTGATAACAGCCTAGGAGATTACACATTATCAGACAGACAAAAATGGGAATTAGGGGAGGGGAAAAAGGAAATTGACAAAAGAATTATTAAAGACAATTTCTCAGAGCTGAGAGTTTTTACAATTGAAAGGGTCTACCAGTTCCCATATCTGTGGATAAAAATAGATCCAAATCAAGTAGAGAAATGGAAATCTTCAGAACGTGGAGAACCTATAAACTTCCAGAGAGGGAAAAGAGGCTCTGTACAGGAATTCACATGGCAATATGGAAGGCCAGAAGACAAAGAAGGCAGTACCTTTTGAGCAAAGACATTTTCCAACTTACAATTCTAAAGCAATGAAACAGTTCATTGAGAGGGTGTAATCATCAGGCATTAGAGGTTTCAGAAACTTTATCTTTCACACACCCTTTGACAGGAGCCTTTGACTAGAGAATGTGTATTCCTCCAAGGAAAGAAACCAAGAATGTGAAGATGTGAGGCCCAGGAGTCAAGGGACCCAAGCCAAGAGCAGAGCAAAGAGAAGCCCAGATATGACAAAGAGCCGAACTGGGCAGCAGCCTGGAAGCCAAGCAGTCTAGGCAGGAGCAGGGCAGACTGCTGTGGGAGAGAGGTCTTCAAGAAGTTGAACTCAGGCTGGGGATTTAGCTCAGTGGCACCGTGCCTGCCTCGCAAGCGCAAGGTCCTGAGTTCTAGCCCTGGTACCAAAAATAAAAGAAGATGAACTTATTGGGATATAATATTCTATCAGAACATCAAAGGAGATTTATAGCTTACAGTGAGTTTGGGATTGATTTAGTTACAAGCATGTAGAAAATGAAGCAAATCAAGAAGCAAGGCAGGGCCAGGGATTTAGCTCAGTGGTTCCGCTGCCTGCCTCGCAAGCGCAAGGTCCCAAGTTCCATCCCCAGTACAAAAAAAAAAAAAAGAGGCAAGGCAGTGATTAGCTCCAAGGAAAACAAAAATATGGTGCTGGAAAGACAAAAGTCTTAATAGATCACATGACTCAGGAAGAGCTTTCACACAATCTTACTAATTGAAATCCCAAAAAGTTTCCTGTCCTAAATTAAAATCTAACTATATTGACATGATGGGAAGGAAAGGAGGTAAGGGAAGAGGCACAGGGGAAGGAAAGTTTCTTTGTATACTTTTTTATATGGCTTTGAGTTTTTTAAAACTGTGGGACTGATTTTCCTGAACAAAAAGAACAAGTTTTAAATGAAAAACAGTTTATAATTTATCATAGATTGTCAACAAGTCATCTCATAAAAATGTGCTTTTCTTCCCTTCTTTTTCTTTAGAAATTAAAACACAGAGCACGGGGCTGTTCACCTGATATCAGACAGATAGACCTTGATGTCAACCGTACATTTAGGGACCATATTATGTTTAGAGACAGATACGGTGTTAAGTAAGTAAAGTTTGATATTATGCAATGTAAAGGGCAGTTATAAAGTCTATTAGGTTAAAATGTGAGTGCTTAGAATATCTTGTGTAGTCTGTGATTTTAAAATATTTTTATTAATATGTATTTGCAATACATAGTGAATATATTCACTTGGTTTTGGTACATATACATAACGCATCATGATCCTTTTGATTTACAACCTATAAGTTTAAGCTTTTTCAGATCAGTTGAGTCCTTGGTGTGTGAAACTTAGCAGCTAATTTAA